GTCGCAATGAGAGCAGCATCATCAGCAAACAAATCATGGATAATTTGTGTACAAAGGTGGGTGCTGATGATCGAAGAGTCCACCAGTTGTTCAAAACTGAAACTTGATGCCACTCTCTGTGTCTGTGAATGTATATTTCAGCATCACTTTGCCTGAAGAAGGTCACGAAACCCAAAAAAAGTGTTGCAAAATTATGGAAAATATAGCATAATATATATTTTTTAAAAAATCCACATTACAACCAAAAACATTTGCAGTTTCTCTCTTCTTTTTTATATATATATATATATATATATATATATATATTATACATATGTTAGCTCTATCACTGATATTGAGCACTTTCCAATAAGTAGCATGCATATATAATATATAAATAATATATATAAAAATTTCATATGTGTGTGTGTGTGTGTATAGAAAAATAGGAATGAACCGTTAGGTTAATAATCCAAAGTTCTTTAGTATTTTTGTTTTTATTTTTAAAAAACAGTGCTTGATACAACAGTAGAGCCTATATTATAATTATTTTTTTCCAAAATTTGCTTGAGGCTGAAACAGAACTAGCTGCTTTAATTTAATTTCTATAAATGAAATTGAAGTATTTAGCTTCTGTTTTTGAAACATGAGAACTCTTATGTAGTGATGGAATCATATTTTTTAAAAAATACTTATAATATATTATATAAGGCATGTATTTGGTTAACAATTTTTAAGTTCAGCATCTTTGTTTTGGTCCTGAGGAGAAATTGAACATAAATTGTTCAATGTTTTTTAATCCCTTTTGGCATTCATAAATCATTATCAAAGAAGATTTTTGTGGGTTGGATTTGGTGATTTTCATGTGTTGTATCTTCCTACATCAATGCCTTTCTTGTTGGGTTTGTTGTTGGTTTGCATTGCTTTTAATTTTTTTTTAAAGTTAACATGATAACCACTAATTTATTCAAAAACCACCAAAGAAATACATAGGTCTATAATTATAGACACAACCTATCAACCCACAAAAATTATTTGATGATAGCCTATGAAAATCAAAACCATTCAGAAAACATTGGAAAATTTATGTTCAAGTTTTCCCTGAAAACCAAAAAAAAAAGATCATAATTGTAGAAAAAGGAAATCATCATAAACAATGAACATTCACTGTCTTTAACAGAACATACATATATATAAAGATGTGTGTGTATCTGATAGTGTATATATAAATATCTCATAACTATGGTTATCTTTTCCACACTACCTGTGCATCACACACAGACATACACATACACATATATATTTCTAAAGATTGATTGATTTTTTATTTATAATCCAACAGATTTTATCACTTTAAACATTATTTTTAGTGGATACTCATACTTTAGTAGATGTTCAATTCATTTATTAAACAGTAGATTTATTTTCATCTACTAACCTGAATATTTGAGAAATCTTATTTCCTAATCATAGATGTGATATCATTTAATAGATAAACAGAGCAACTACTCAAATATGGATATCCACTAAAAATAATGATTAAAGTGATATATATATATATATGTGTGTGTGTGTGTGTGTGTGTGTGTGTGTGTGTGTGCATACATACATATATATATATATATATATATATATATATATATATATATATATATATATATACGTAATTGTTATATCGTAATTGTTATACAGACTCTCAGATAGATATTAAACAGCTCTCAGGATATCACTGCCTCTGCCTGCCCTGCATTTTTGCAAACATTCTTGCTCAATCATAAAGAGGTTGGCTTATCTATTATCTGTGGCCAATCTATTTGCTGGAATCTGATTTTCCCTGTCTGACTTAGACACCCAATTTTCACATTATATCTCCCAAAGGATGATGGCCAATGGTCTTTGTCATTGCATGAGAAACAATGTCTTCATCACAGAAAGAACAGATTTCATCATGGAAAATGTTAAGAGATTCCTTCATCTTCCTGGGTCTCTCAACAAAGCCATTCCTCCCCAAATGTCAATTTATCATCGCCCCTCATCAACCATTAATACTCACAAACTGTGTCTCTGTTTGGATTTTGAATTCTCAATGGATGAAGAAGGAAACCATAAGGAATCTAGTTTGTTATTTCTTTCTTTCTTTCTTTCTTTCTTTCTCAATCACACCAGAGGGGGCACCATCTGCTCTAAACCTCGTCCTCACCACCACCACCACCACCAAGAGAAGAGTCATCTAAGGGGACAAGTTTGTGGGAGGAGCAATAGCTTTAATATATCAAGATATCTAATCAGAATGACTTTTATTTTGTACTGAACAGATTTCACACACACGCTATTACAGTTTATTAAAATTATAGACATGCTTTTCTCCTTCTCTCACCTATATATATATATATATATATATATATATATATATATGCATATATATATATATAAACACATTTAGTTTATTCTGTTAGTCTAATTGCTATTACTTGTCACATTATTAATGATGATACTTTTACATCTATTGAGAAAAAATATAACTAATAAATGATTAATGCAGTTATTACTTTATAACAGTGCATTTGCTTACATTAAGGTCATTAAATCTGATTGGATATAATAGATATTAAAAAGCAGAATTTGGAGGATTACAAGCCATAATTTTAATATTAATTTGGACTAATTCTTCATTCTGTTGTTTCTTTTTATCACACGTTTCGCCATTAAATCTTCAAATATTAAATGTTACTATAGTAATTTAGAAAAAGGAATTAATTCATAAGATTTAAACTCATATACAATATCTTGAAAGTTCCAATTTCATGAATGTTACCTTAGCCATTTTGATTACTAATGCTATCAAAATCAGTAAATGAATGAAATTCTAATGGCTCAGTAAACAGTTACCAAAGACTAGATTACCAACTGGTTTTGGTTTTATTTTCTTTATTGACAAAGAATGTTAAAGAAAAAATGTTACATCATTTCTTCAGTGGAACTCTTTCTCTATTTGAATCATATTTGCTGAACAGAACACATAGCAAGATGATAAGGAATAACATTTGTCTCTAAATAAAATATTAGAAAATTACATCATTTATTTCAAGCAGACTTTAAAAAAATCATTGTTTATTGACAATTTTTTACCAGGAGGACTAGAACAAGTGTTGTAACCTATAAAGTGTTATTGAATGAGCAATAACCAAAACAGAGGTCGGAAATGAAATGGTAATCTTTATAACATCAACAAAATACAATACTCACCAGCGGCGTGAAGTAGGTAAACTACTGCTAGTGATGGACTACTTAGACATCATATTACCCCTCACTTGCAATAGCATCTAATGTATTTATCAGGATTAGGACATACCCATTAGTAATCATAGGTACAGTATATAACAAGTTAAATGCACAATTGTTTATATCTGTATGCATCTGCCTGAATTTTGTGTGTCCATCACCTGTTTAGAAATTGTTTTGTTCACATTTTGGATACAATATTGAGTGGTGATGATCTTTCAAAGGTCTGGACAAGGAAAGGTGTGCTTAAAAAGCAAAATAGAACCTCGCTTAATCACAACACTGTTCAAAGTCGAGACAGTTAAAGCACATCTCATCTAACAACAGTTTCACCTACTAAGAAGGATACAGGTTCTGATCCTGCCAGAGGATACATTTTTTTCTCTACTAAGATTTCTCAAATATGTTTATCCACAAAAGAAAATGTTTAAAGTAATATATATATATATATATATATATATATATAAATTTACACCTGACAAATACAGAAATCATGAAACTCCGAGTTGTGCAATCAGTGAAAGCTATTATGTATATTTCTTAATATATATTAAATAGCTGTTATTTATCATTGAGCACTGTTTTTTCTTACACTACAGAGTATTTATTTGTATTTGTATACAATCACTCACTTGTACATCTACCTATATTTACCCATTTGGCTATATACATATATATATATATATATATATATATATATATATATATATATATATATATATATATATATATATAATATAGAGGGAGAGAAAGAGAGACAGAAAGGGATAATGTATCTCACATTATTAACTACATTTAATTTTTTTGTAATCTCATGAAATCTAATTTGTATTATTAATGATCAGGATATTTCACATAAAAGGTATAAATTATATAAGACGGTCACACTTGGTGGCAACAGATTTAGGAATTTTACTGTATTTTCCAAGTTTCATATGATTAGCCAACAAAATGAAACAAAATGTAACATTTGCTCTGGTCTGTGTTGTGGATTTGCCAGAGTCTGCCACTGCTGTTCTTGGTATGTGTCTCTATTATATGGCTGTCCAGAACCTGGTCTACAAGTATAGGAATGTTTGCTTCACAACTGTTGCCATTGATAAGTCATGTCCTGCTTGCACTGAACTCATTCACTGTACTAGAATTTATCACAGTATGAGTCACTGTTTAAAGCTGAGACAAGTAGTGGTAAAAATGTTAATAAGTCACAAGATGGCTGCAGACTTTGGGAATTTTATTTGAATATTTACAACCCACTATTATACATATACTGCACCCACGTCAAAACTGGCATCATCCTTTATGGTGTTGCCATTTTTATTTTCTATCAGTCTACATATATGCAAGAAGTACTGAAAACTTCTCAAACTGACCCACTTCCCAAGAATCAGTATTTTGATATTATAGCATTGGAATACTGATTTGCACTGGCATATATATATATATATATATATATATATATATATATATATATATATGTGTGTGTATGTGTTTGTAGGATGTATAATAGTGTCCAAAACATTTAAGTGAAGATAATGAGATAAATGATGAGACAATAATGAGACAAGCATGTGCTCCCTCTGGCTTCTTCCGGTTACAATGAAAGAAAGACAAAACTGTATGTAAGAAAAATGTGTTTGGATCACTGAGGATAAGTGGAGATCTTACCTTACTTTACTATACCATATATGTGTGTATGTGTGTGTATGTGTGTGTAAACAGTTATAACAGTTACTTACGGCACAATCACATCTTTCAGCAGTTTGGGGAATGGTTTGGTAATCATTAGAACTAACACCTGGAATGACAATTGTGACATGCAACTTCCATCACACTCATCCTGGTAAGAAGTGCCCATTCCTAGAATTCCTTCATGCAGTGTTCTCTGAAATATTAAACAAAAATAATTATTGCTTTCAACTAAATCTTTTTATACAATATTCTTTAAAGATTCTTTTTGCATTCACTAAAGCTATTTTTCATCTCCATCCAGTAAAATGTTCACTCTCTATATTTCCATCCCAACCTACATTCAATTACTTATTATATATTGATTTTACTAAAGGTAAGGTAAATATAAATATGAGATTTTATTAAAGGTAAGGTAAATCTTTTCTGATCTTCACCTACATCTACAAAAAAGGAATCAGTGAAAAACTCAATACCAATAATAATTTAAAATAACTTCAAATAATATCTAAATCATAAGAGAATTGAGTAAAATGAAGACCATAGTTGCATCCATCATTATCAGCACACTTGGAAGAGTCTAAAATAGTTTGAATTGAAACAGTAGAATTAGAACCCAAGAAAGAATTGAAAGTGTCCAAAAGAAGTATTACTAAAAGGAATCCCAAAAATACTGCTTGAGTATTAATGACTTGCTGTCTCTTGATTTCCAGTTACAAGTACTAATTGCATGAAAACCAAATGTATATAAAACTAATAAACATGAAATACTTTTCATTCTTTATTCAATGAAAGCATATAATAATTATCAATGTGATAAATTTGTGTTTATAATTTAATTTATATATTTCCTGTCACATCTATAATGGAAAATCATTTTAAGTTAGTAAATTTATGAGTGATTACTTCCCTTAGTCATTTTAACAATCTTTACAAATAAAGTATTTATCTGCATTTAGACAAAATTAGTTCCCAAGCAAAATGAACTGTTTCTTAGATTGCAGTCTTATTTATTCAAGCCTTTCATGTGAGGCACTCAGATGCCTTTGTCTATTAAGTGATTGCCTTACTTCAACTTGGTCTTGAAATAGGCTTTGTTATTGCCATCTTTGTCATTCTGTTGCTAATCTAATTCTTCCATGAGATATTTTCATTTCACTGATATGTTAAACACATAAATTTTTAACATGGAATGATATTGAGCAAAAATCAATTTATATTATCGCAGGAGTTATCAATGAATCATAGATACCATTGAACATCTAAAATATATTAAGGGAATGGATTAATTAAATGGTTCATGGACCTCTATTTTAGTTACAGATTCTTTATTTCCGCTTTATTGAATCTCAATACATTGTTTCAAGACTTTTATTTCATTGCATTTCACTATTAAAACAATTGCTGTCATTTTTGACAGCGCAGATACACTAGTCTTATAATAAAAAGCTTATATAATCAAACCATTTTTGACTATATTTAAGGAAATTTTATATTAGCAGCTTTAATATATGAAGAGAACAATATATAAAGTATTAAAAATAGCGTTAATTGTTGTTATCATTTACACTAACACGGTCATTTTGGTTGTTATACTAACATTTTCACTATTGTATCTTCCAATCTTTTCCAGGTATTTGTTATAGTCAGTAAACCACCTTGGAATTTTGAGCTGAACTTATTCAATGGAGTAGATTGTTCTAATTCTGCTTTCCATTTTAAAGTTAACACTTACAAGAAGTATGATAACAGACACATGGAAAAAACTGGTGTGTACAAAGGCTGAATGTGAGTGCAACAACTAAGTCTGAATAGAAAAACATATTTGAAAAATTTTTACATTACCTCTTCCTTTGCTGCTTCTATAGACATACAGGTAATGATTTTAAATATTTATTTCAAAACATTATTAATACAATAAACAATTTTAATAAATTTCATTATAAATATGAAAAATAATTAAAAATTAAAATTAATCATTTTATTTAAATTGATGTTGAGCTGAGAAAGAGTAAAATTCAAATTTAAAATCTGTCAATATTGAAATCATAATCTAAACAACAAATTTCAATATGTAGATCTCTATGTAAATACAAAAGCTTTTTATGCATTTTCCCCTATTTCCTTTTGGCATCAATTTCAATTGACACTTTTGCCATATATTTTGACCATTTTCCTTAAAATTTGTATTTTCTTGATTTCAGATACAAAATTGGAAATTTTTCAACATATTTCAGTGAAATTTTCACTTTACAAAGTCATAGTTTATTATTGTAGTTTATGTATGTATATATCTATTTAAATATATATTATTAAATATAACAGACAATGAATGTCTCTTATGTCTGATCATGAGTTTGAATGTTCGCTTTAATTTCTGATGAAAATAAAGACAAAAATTGTCCAACATTTGTTTATTTTTTTATTAAGTTAGTCCTAAGATTTTTGACTTACATTAGCCATCCTCAGAGTGGTTACTGACATGAGGCAAAGATATCCACTGTCAAAGATGATATTTTGTTATTTTAACATAAAAAATTGCCAAGTGACGTTAACGTTCACGGAATAGCAGATGCAGATAGTAAGTTCAAGAAGCAGTTGTATGGCATCATACCATACGATAGATTGAAGTATTACAACAGAACCAATGTCTTGATGCAATGTAATGCATTGTGACTAGTTTGAAATGTAATTTTGTTGAGTATTTGTTGCTTCATTTTAATGTAGATGGCCTCCAATATCTAAAGTTTTTTTTTATTGTGTCTATGTGTGTGTATTATTGTGTTATCAACTAATAACACTCTAATATTATATACATGACTATGTTTTTCTAATAAATGTTGCTTAATAAAACTACAATCTTTTATATTTTTGTCTTTATTTTCACCTGAAATTAAAGCGAACATTCAGACATTAGAACAACTCATGATCAGATTCATTATCTGTTTATTTAATAAAATATATTTAAATAATGATCTGCTGCCCCATATACAATAAATACATATATATATAAAAACAAAAAGATGTCAGTTTAAACTGATGCCAAGGTGATATGTTATAAGAAGAGGAACGATGAGTATAATTTTTTTTTTAAAATCTCTACTTAAAATAATAAATCAACACAATCAGATGACCGGACATAATTATTTTGTAAAAATCTGAATGCTTGAAAGCAAATATTCTATTGACAAATCTTAACCTGTAAAGTAAAAGACACAAAAATACTGTGACAATTACAAGTGAAAAGTGCATTTTTATTAGCTGTTCTGTTAAGCAAAAGAAAAAAAATGATTTCTTCAAATTTATTCATAAAAGGATCAGTCAGTTATGTGCCATGTGTGATATACACTTAGGCGATCATGTATCTTTCGATACATGACTGACGAGTCAGATTTTTTCCCATGGTAGGTTGCCATTTCTTTCTGAGGTAGACCAGTAGCCATCCAAGGCTATAGAACCCAGTCTGTCTTGCTATTTACCTATATCTAGGAGAGAAGAAGAGGATTCATACCTTTACCAAGGGTAATTAACATGGAAGTGAATAAAACAATACAAGTATAAAAATAACTTTTTAAAGAATAAAATCTGAAGCCATGTAAACTACTAACAAATAACTGCTTTGAAATTTGAATATTAAAGTTTTAATATTCAAATTGAAATTTGAATATTAAGAACTAATCAAATATGAATATTATTTGAACTAAGTGCTACAAAAATAAATTTCACTAAATTTCAAAAAATTAAATTAGTGGGGTGGGGAGACATGTGAAAAAATATTTTTACAAAGATTTTTAAAAAAAGGAAACATTTCTAAAATAATTTCATTCATTTGTGAATAAGTCCTGAAAGTTTCATTAAAATCTGACCATTATCTGAATTTTGAAAGAGGTTTCAAATCACTGCAAAAAGACACTCAAATTTCCCATACTAATTTAATGGTCACACACTGAAACAAGAAACCAAAATTTTGAAGGTTTTATATCCTTTTGTCTTTCCTCTTAATAATAATAATAAAGATTTTGACGATATATATACATACATACATACACACACACACACACACACACATATATATATATATATATATATATATATATATATACACACACACACATATATGGGAAAAATATATGAAAAAGTGGAAAAAAGTTAACTTATGACACATTTCATTCTTCAGGACTTCATCAGACTAAATTTGTTATGTTGGTTCAACTATACATGTGCACGAATGATGGTTGCTGGGGAAATTAAAATTTTTTTTTTATATTCTAAAATCCCCATGCACCCCTCATTCATGTGCATGTGTAATACTACCAACATAACAAATATTGTTCTTGATATGTAAAAAAGTCATATCCTTATCTCATATATATATATATATATATATATATATATATATATATATATATATATATAGCATTTTTGTTTTATTTACCCATTTACAGCACTGCTTCACACTTAGTGGTTTTGAAAATGGGTGAATGTTTATTAGTATATTAAAATATATTAAAAATTTAAATACATTGCTCTGATATATATATATATATATATATAAGAAAAGAATATATCTATCTATTATATATATATATATAGCAAACAATTGTAATCAGTGTTTAGAGTTTAAAAAAGAAAATAAAGAGTAAGCTCTGTATTTGTAGACAGTTGCCCTCTGCCATCTTTTAATTTTCAGTTACATCTCACTCCTCAACACCCATGATGAGAGTCTAATTACTTTATCTCCAACTTGCCAAGGTCTAGACACCCCATGTCTTGTAAATGATGGAAATTGCAGCTTGTCCCAAGACACATCTTCTTCTTTCTTCTCCTACTAAGCAACTTAGGAGATACTATTAATTTCTATTAGGGACTCCCTATCAAGGGAACCCCTTTCTTAAGATTTCACTCTGTCAAGCCTGATTGAATTGTTAATCCTATATCTTATTTATTCAGTAAATGTTTTCAAAGATTTCCTAAAGATCCCCTCTTCAGATACTGACATCTGTAAGCCCATCCCCACTTGTTATTTAGAAATCTAGGCTCCAGTCTGGCAATGAAGGAGACAGAGTCTTCTTTCTTGCTGCTTGGTGACAGACAACCAATAGAGAAGATTCCAAAGCATAAAATGTGATAATGTCCTGCCACTGTTTGACTTTATTTGTTTCTACATTAATTTATTCATTCAGTGTTTTAATTCACTTTTTTTCCAATTTTCTTTAAATATTTTTCTTCTTTTTATCTTTTCACCTTTTATTCAAATTCTTTTTCATTCATTCTTTATTCTTTTATATTCATTACTTTTTCAAACTTCTGTCCATTTTCTTTCACTCTTCTTCTAATTTTAAAATTTTTCCTTCTTCACTTATATTTCTGTTTTCATTTTCATTTCTATTTTCCACCTTCATTTTACAATTATTTTCTTTCTTCTTTTTCTTTACTTTGCTCTTAATCTCTCCTTCACTTTCTTTTCCTATAACTTCTTTCCTCTGCTGCTTCCTTTGTTTCTCTTTTTCTAGATTTCATCTTCTTTGCCCTTTATTTCTTCCTTGCCACATGCTTCAGTCTCTGTTTCTTTTATCTTTACTATTCATTTTATATTTTCATTCCTTTCTTTACATTTTTTCTTTCACTTTTTTCTTTGCTTAAATTTCTTTTTATCTCTTTTATTCATTCTTCTTTTCATTCTCCCTTCTCCTCTTTTCTCTCATATCTATTTCTTTGCTTTTCAACATACTTCTTTTCCTTCTCTTCTTAAAATTCCTTAAAAAGTCCCTTTCCTCTAAACTTCTTTGTGTCCCAACAATGTTAGTGATGTTTGTGTCAGCTGTTTGATGACAGCCTGAGAAGGCAACTGATGAAAGACCAAGTAAAGTGGTTTATTATTTCTAGAAAATACTTTCTTTTTTGATCTGTTTCTACAGTTGTGCTCTCATCTCACCATTTCAACCTTCCAACACTTTTCTTTCTGGCAAGATGGAAGAGGTAAAAGTGGGGATGCAAATGTCACCAGGGCTTGTAATAATAATATTGCAATGATCCCAGGTAGACCTGAAAAAGGCAAAGACATCTCGCCCCTCTATTTCATGATCGATCTCACATTTTTTACTCATTCACTCACTTCTACACACACACAATATTTCGGCAGAAATTTTTATTTATAAATCTATTACTTTTAACAAAGAATACTTTGTTAATTTTTATGTAGTACCAAATAAAAGGAACTACATAAAAATTTAAAAATATTCCATTTTCTTATAGTTACTAATACATATGCATACATACTTACACACACACACACATGTATATATATATATATATATATATATATATACAGTATAATGTTACTTTTTTACATCTTATTAAAACCTGAGAAGCATATCAGTCTGTGCTTCAATTGAATCAATCTTTCAGATTCTTAAAATGGAATCAGTTCCATTATCTCATCATTAACTTTAACTGTGTGCAGCAACTACTACCATCCATTCTCCCATGAGGAGGAAAATGAAGCAGTCATCACCCACGAAGCACAAATTCATCAGATTCAAATGAAGTAAAATTGCCATATTTTCATTTCTATTTTATTTTTTCTCAGTCAAGAGTTAATTAGGTCAACAAAATCTTGTTCACATGCTTACATATGCTAACAAGCTCTCAATAAAATTTAAATTTTACTTACTCCTCGAAGAAAAGCGATATAAAAACAGGAAGCATAGGAGTTAGCAAAATGGAAAGCAAAGAGTTTGATAATTAATGCATCATCAAAACTTGATTGTGTCCGATGGTTTTCTGAAAAGAGGAAAAAATACATGACTACATGAGGATCATCATAGCAATAATAACAAAAACATTATTTTACAGAACAAAACATAAAAATATGTTTCTATGAAAGGATGAAAAACACATGCAATCTCAACTCGTCTTTTACATGAAGCTGATTACAATTTCATTTTTGTTCTGATAATAATTGTAATAAGATAACTGAGACAACTCATTGGATCATCCTTGTTTATAAATGATATTTGACTCACATTTAATAGAGATTGAAAATGAGATTCACTCAATAATGGCAAAATACATGGTTAATTATTTTAATCATAAACCCACCAGATAAAATGATACATGACATAAGGTTGCACTTTATGTTGGATTATCCAGAAATTGTCCAAATCACCAATCCATGGCTGCAAACACTGACTCTATGCATGAGGAAAGACACAAATCCATATATTCTCCCTCTATCTATGGATTAAATAGTAGAGTAGACTGGATCCTCTATCATTGAGTGGCAACCAATCTAAAAGAAGGAAAACTCTTTATTCGAAACTGTAGAGAAGGTAACAGGTAACTAGTCCTTTATATTTCATATTAATGTGATTCCCAGATAATAAAGAAAAGATATCTGCAGAGAGCCATAATCATCTACCTTTTTAAATTACTAGAATCTTTTTATAACACACTTATGTATGTTCAAATCCTCACAGTATATAGTATTGTTGAAGTTATTGCTAACATTTTTGTTGAAATTTACAAACTCTACATTTTGTTTAATTTCACAAACCAATTGAATAAACTGATTTGTTTGGAAAAATACTTTGACAAAAACCCTACTTCACAGTTTTTACACAACTTAGTAAAATCAACAGTATTTTGTACCTGTTTGCACTTCTCCTAAAAATGTGATTTTGATCAGTCAATGTATAGCTATTTTAAAGGGTCGGACAGATGGATGGACTAACGGAAGTCACAGAATTTTATATATATATAGATAGATAGATAGATTGTTCTTATTTGAATAGTGTTGATTTTAAAAATGTGAAATTGAACATTGAGTGGAAATACTTAATTGGCCTACTTTTCTTTTGTTAGCATCTATTAACAATCTTCACCAATCCAGCACTTCAAGTTTAACACTAAAAGGGCTCTGTATAATAAATTTGTACTTATAACTCATATAATTAAATATGTCCAATGTTTATAATTAATTATATGTTAGCTTAAATTTCTAAAGATCACCCCAATAATCATTTTCTCAGTAGAAACCACAGCTTTTCTATTCAACAAGATCAGAATCTCACAAAGGATAACTTTTGTGCACATTTCATTAACTGCATAGAATTAGTTTTAGATATTTTTTCAGCTTCATTGATGAATAGATAAGAAGATAAATTATCAAACAATAAACTCATTATTGCAAAAATTATTCTTCATGTTTTATTTACTGTGGGATTTTAATCTTTATTGTTGTCAATTAAAAAAACACATAACTTAGATAAAAAAAATCAGATGATATGTTTGGCTTCTGAAAATAAGGATCAAATTGTAATAAAATAATTAACCATTTGTTATTTTCCTGATAGAATTAAAAGCAAAACAATAGATGGTAAAATTTAATGTTTGTTGAGATATGTGATTATTTCACATAATGCATATATCTATATATATATTTTCAACAACATTTTATTGAATTGGAATATTAAATAATATCTTCAATATGATTTCCATCATTTGTGATGCAAAGGTTGATGTGTTTTGCAAGATTCACGTGAACCTGATGCAATAAATCCCCATTACTGTCAATTTTAGTACATTCACTATAATTTAGTGTGTTGCATCTGTGCATTGAGTTACACCTTCATCTTTAGCATACTCCAAAAATGGTCTCTTATGTGTGTATGAAAGTTTATATGAATTTTATCATCTTACTGTGGCCTTCTTGGCTTCATGTTTTCAACTGACCTGAAGTGAAACAACTACAATCAAAAGCTGCATCTACTGCAAGGAAAGCTGGTTTATTATGTCGTGGCAGAAGGTTTTTCTTGTCAGAGTCCATCTTGCACATTTACAAATCTATCATTCAGCTGTGCATTGAATACTGTTGCTATATCTAGTTTAATGCCCCTGTTGTTCATCTCGATGTTCTTGACAAAATCCAAAGAAGGATCCTGACTTGCCATCTCAATTTGAGTCAATTTCTCACAGATGTGATGTGGTTCCCTCTCTCTTTTCTACAAATAATTTCATGGCAACTGCTTTAATGAGCTTTTTACCCTGTTGACCCAAATACATAAATTTAATCATGCTACTAAGTCCCACCCTTTTATTGTTGAAATAGCTAAATACAACCATCATTTCTACTGCAACAGTTTCTTTTCTTACACTTCCCAACAGTGGAACTCCCTTCCATTTACTTGCTTCCCTGAAAACTACAATGTTCAAATATTTAAATGCAATGTCAGTTGCAATCTTTTGTCTGCTTGAATTTCATTCAATGTGTATCCCTTCCTCAATCCCTCCTATACCCAGTCTTTTCTCTCACCTTCACTCTCTGTAACCTCCTGCATACTAGTGAAGTGAAATGATTAAAAAAAGATATGTATATTATAAATATTTTATTGGTTTAGGTTTTATGTTATAGATGTGTGTGGATATGTGCTTATTTCTTAATGATTCTTGAATCAATCTTTCAGATTCTTAAAATGGAGTCAGTTCCATTATCTCATCATTAACTTTAACTGTGAGCAGCAACTACTACCATCCATTCTCCCATGAGGCACTGAAATGTTCTTGTCTAACCAATTTCCAAAAAACTGGTCAAATAACAGAATTTACTTTGTAACCATTTCTGGTTCAGGCAAAGAAATTTTCACCACCTCCTCATATATATATGTAGGTATGTATGTATAGCTGATTTTTTTTATTGATATGCAAAATAATAGCCAAGGTTAGGAAAATTGGTGATTGTCTGATTTTCCCCACATCTTTTCTCTTGTAACCAATTTTTTCTACAAGAAAAAAAATGATAAACATCAAAAATAACTTTATGTAAGTCACTCTCATGCTTTTACTTCATTATTTCTGCAATAATTTTCTTAAATTTATTTGTGTTTTTGATGACAGATTTTATTAATTTTTAACTAGTATTCCTTTCATTTGAATTTCAATTGCTTTATTCAGATGAGAATTAGTAGTATTATCTGAGATTTTAATATTATGAGATGAGGTTTTGTCAACCATTATTTTTTGACATTTCTTTCTTCTTAACTTCAGTTGCTTTTCATTATAGGAATTAAATCCTATATATATATATTTTTTCAACCAATAAAATCCCATCAGAAGGTTTGTTGAATTACAAGTGCAAATACCATCAAAATACTTGAAGACACAGTTGTAGACGTACCACATGTTATTTTTGGACCATTTAGAAAATAAGAATAATAACTCCTTTTATCACTCTTGCAAATTTGAGAAAAAGATTTTCACAAACCAATATGAAATTATCTTCTAACCAATGAAAATCTTGTATTCAAAAAATTCATACCTCTATATGAAATTAGATTTTGAATTCTCTTACAGATATAAAAAAAAGAAACATACCATTTCTCAGGGCCCATAACAGTTTCAGAGGCCAGTTTAATTATTTATAATATTTACAAACTTCAGCCCTGAAAAAAATTTAAGATGAGGATGTTATTGTGTAACATCATGTTGGTCAAATGTCAGTTCCTCCATTGCTTTCCACTGTTTTCATTACCATCTAGGAATTGTCTTGAATCATGATCCAATTCATTGCTAAAGTAACAAATATCAAAACAAAGAAACTTTTTTTGTAAGAAATCTCATCAAAATCTGGAATTATCTAGAATTTTATAAAAGACAATATTTCTTATGAGAAATATTTATTTTCTTCTTTGCACTATGATTTTAACTCATGTGGTCAGTATATTTCAGGTTTGTCCAAAAATTCAACTCTCCCATTTTGCAAAGATTTCAATAAGAAGCTGGCTGTGACCAAGTATCTCATGTGGTCAGTATATTTCAGGTTTGTCCAAAAATTTAACTCTCCCATTTTGCAAAGATTTCAATAAGAAGCTGGCTGTGACTAAGTATCTCATGTGGTCAGTATATTTCAGGTTTGTCCAAAAATTCAACATTGTGGCAGAGTTGACAATTACTTGTATCTCACTGCAGATAAATTGTTTTCTACCAACAAAAAATATGGCTTTGTTAAAACTGAGTGAAAATAAAAGGTTGAAATTAAATTCAAACAATGTGGGAAAAAAATGAGAAGACAAAGTTGTAGTTTCAAATAAATTTGCAACAATTATTTTTTTTACAAAATATTCAATTTTGAAGAGAGTGTAAAGTGAAATGAATATTTTTATTGAAAAAGAAATTATGTGCATGTGTGTGTATGTTTAGATTGCAAAGTGAACAATTGACTCTCTTTGACTGGACAACCTCTATGTTCAATGAAAGAGTGTATATATGTATGTATGTACATGTGTGGGGGGTGTCTAATAGCATCAGATAGACTATGAACTAGATTGATAAAAGTACTGATGGATATCATTCCTTAGAAAATTTTAGGATCAGATAAACTGATTTTTTTTAAATTAAAGTATTTTAATTGGTCAATAAACTTCATAAAGGTTTTTCTTTTCAAACTATAGCAACTTATCTAGCGATGCCAGCTGAATCTTTTGAAGTCCAAATTATTGACTCTAAATTGTTTATTACATTTGAATTTGCTTCAACTTATGACATTATTCATTGTCAATAAATTATAGAGAGAGACATTTTCCATCTCAACCATAACTACTTACCCCAGCTAGTGAGTTTGTAAGCCAAGTGGGTATATGCCTAGAAGCCAAAAGAAAAAAGAAACCAGAATTATTTGTCATTCAAAATAAAAGACAAAGCTTGAAGCCTATCCTCGTTGATTGAAGCTCATAAAATATTTAAAGTATTCAGATTGGTAGTGGAGGATCACGCTTGACAAGCATGCATAAATGACAAAAACAATATAAATATATCCTCAGAAATGTAATCAAGATATTTTTTTTTTAATTTCTACAAGACAATGTCAAATACATGTTGAGTTACACTTTGAGAGAACATTATGATTGGGAAAATGATTATCATTGAATTTGTTCCCTCACAGATTATGCTACATTTTGTGTTTTAAAAGGGGGATATTTGTTTAAATATGATTTTTTTACTCATATACAAATAAATAAATAAGTTAACATTTAATAGAATTTTTTTTTTAAATGGGGGAGAGGGCTTTTAGTCCCAGTTCAATACAAATACAATCTCTTCAATATCATTATTCAAAACACCATTTTTATTTAATTTTGTAAGTACCCTATTCAATAACACTGTCCCAGTTCAATATCCTGTTTGGGTTACTTAAGCATTATATACAAATAAACAAAATCAGGTCTATAAGTATCATATCTACAGTGTTATCACTGTACAAACTCTAATAAGAACATAAGACTAAATCTCTCTTATATAAAATTGTTTATTTACCTACACACTTCATCAATATTGGTGATGAGATGTGTGGGTTTGGGGGATTTCTCTGAACATAGATCCTTCTACTTGTGAGGATATGAGAGATTCTCTGTCCTTTTCCCACTTACAATGACCACTTGTATATCTTCTTGTCATCTGGTTGTTCTATGTGTGCACATCTACCTGTTTACTACACTCATATTCTGTGAGGTGTGAATCTGTCCCTGATGGCTATGGGGTTATCTTCCAGGTCAATCTGCAGATGCACCTGGCTTCTCTGATGCTCTGGTGTGACAGTAAGTGCAAAGTCCACTTTATTATCTACATATAGATAAAATTAGTTATATTTTGACAATATACAATTTTTTAAATTTTCTGATGATTTGCTCATTTCTATTTATGAATCTGAATAAATTCCGAGAAAAAAAAAATCTTTTTCTCATTGCCTTTGTTTTTCTCAGGAAAATTGATATCTTAAATATAAAATGTTTTTTGTTCCCAATTGATGAGATAATTATCCTGTTAGAAAGAAATGTTTTCTCAGTTTTGATTGATGAAAATTTAATGAATTATAATTACATGAAAGGTATGAAATATCCTAATAAAAAAGACATCTTTAAAAAAAAGAGTCAACAAAATAACTTGAATCTTAGCATGTAATTCATTTTAATCTATGAAAATGCTAAGCAAACAAACCCAAGCTTTATTCTACTTGGAACAAACCAAAAGGGCAAAAGAAAAAAGCCATACAACATAGATATAGTCATGAGGAACACACTTGTAATAACAACAACATAGTGAGACTATAAATAATAATACTAACAATAGGAATGTAATAGTATGAGTTACACAAATGATTAATTATATCTAGAGAAATGAACCGTAATTTCCATCTCTGATTCTGTTGTATTACTAACTGATATGTCCCGGAAAGGGATATATTTGTTCGGCAAAGTGGTTTGGACTACTGTAACCAGGTAGGACAATCTAGCAGGTAACCGTAATGGACTGGTCCTCATTGTAGTGGTAGGCAATAGGCGTAGGCAATAGTCAAAGACAATAGGTGTAATCCATGTACCTTCACATCAGCCTGTATTTATGGCTGACACCAGCCAATCATATTACTGTGAGGGGGAACCCAGGTGTATACATATTCATTACATCACTAACACAATAAAAAGAGAGAGAGAGAAAAAAAAAGCAGCAATTGATCTCACTCCTCAAGATGCTAAGGCAGATTAAATTCATATTCATAAACAAATGTCAAGTGATTTTTTTATTTACTACTTAGTAAATTTATATTAAATAAAAATATTGCATTTATTTTATTTAATTTCAATCACCAATTATCGTTGTATTACTCAACCCAATACAAGACAATTGCCAGATATAAAGGAGCATCTCATCCTAATGTTGTGATTAACAAACCAGTCTCACAGATTACTATAGTGAGTGCCACACTTACTCAGTATTGTACTGCTGTGGATTTGGGCTAGACTAACCTAGGCTTAGTAAAAATCAATTAAGTTTACAGTTAAATCATACTTAAATCACCATCCTGAAAATCAAAGTTAAGCAGCATTGAACTTGATTAATATGGGTAACATTTAGGGCCATCAGGTAATGTTGTGAGATTATCACCTATGGCACAGAATTATAAGCAGCATGATTTTTGAAAGACTTGCTATTTCCTTAGCAACTACCAACAAGAGTGACAAGACATGATTTTCCTCTTGCAACACACTAAAAAATATATTCACTTCATTTGAGTATCTTATCACTTCAGAATTTCTACCAAAGATTTTGTGTAAATAGTTACCAACTTCAAATGAGGAATTTCCTTTCTTTCCTTAATAACTATATCAACAAAAAACTCATAATTCTGTAAACATGTTTTATTGATAGAGTTTAGGTATATTTGTTTTGAATCCATGACTTTCTTTCTGTCATCTATTATAATGTTGTATTGGTCTACCAAACTGCTGTTAAAGTTCAATTACACTTTGTGTCATTATTTACCATGACACAAATGAGATTGTAAATATTGTTTACAAGGACAGATAATTCATTAGTTTTAAAAATGATTATTTATCCTGTCCTCGAACAGTGTAAGATTTTTGTAGCCTTTTGCCTGACTAAGCAAATTCTTGTAAATATTGACAATAGATGACAATAAAGAAACAGACTTTCTTGAAATTAAAAAATAAAATTAATTTATGGACATTACTTTAAATAGGAAAATCTGTACATAAAAGAATATTAGTCATTCAAAATGAAACAAAGAGAAACTCTTATTAATAATAATATTTGTCTCAGCATATCTAATATAAGAATTCAATGACTATACTTACAATTCCCAGTAATAAGATAGAGATTGCATTGAGTATCGATGAAACTATGGTCGTTAACATAAAACAGTGCATCTCAGTCAAACTAGCACAGTAGTCGATTGAAATGATCACACGGTACACAATGACACCCATCACACTGGTCGCAACAAGACATACCTGAAATTACAACAAAAAAAAGTATTTTACAAATATTTGAAAATATAAATACACATTTTTAAAATATAAATACTTATTTACACTATTTAGACATGGGTAGTGGAATAAGAACAGTCTACCAGCTGTAGATTATCTAAAAGGTTCAATATCTGTCTATATTTCTGACATGAAGCATTGTAATTATTTACACAATTTACAATGACCGGATTGCTATCCTCATACACTGATGTTCTCAAGGACACATGGCCACTGGATAAAAGTGTTGGTTGAAGTAATCCAGTGACTTGTCCCAAAGTGTTGTGAGTTCAATACCTGGCTGCAACAAAGGTGAACAAAAATTTGGAAAGTTGAGTGAAAGGGAAATAACTGAAACTAAGATATCCAGAAGAGGCATGGCACATGGAACTAGAATGATCTCTCCAGTGGATGAAATAAAGGGTTCAGTTTGAAATTCCAAATACCTGAAGAAAGCCGGAGCGTACAATAGCCAAAATGTTATGAATATGGCAACAGAGACGAGGACAATAATTCAAACAATGTAAATAGTGTAAATAGTTACAATATCTCATCTCAAAAATATAGACAGATCTTGAAGAAGGCCGGAGCGTACAATGGCCAAATAGTCTTGAATATGGTAACAAAAATGAGAACAACACTCCGAACAATGTAAATAGGGTAAATAATTACAATATATATAATTAAAATATAGACAGATCCTGAAGAAGGCCAGAGCGTACAATGGTTGAGACATTGTGAATAAGGTAACAAAGATGAGGACAATATTCCACATGTAAATAATGATAACTCTTCATCACAGAAATTCAGATAAAAATATAAAAACTTAATATTAGTAACAAAATCCTCTTCTTCATTTAATTTTCAAGTATATTTTATATTTCAAGTTTTAGTTATCAACTTAGAAAATAACAAAACTGTATTTTTCTAAATCCAGGTCAATCACTTTCCAACCATTAATAGAGTTCAAAATCATTTACATTGTCTCATGGGGGGGGGGGGGCTTCAAAGGGAGCCTATTTCCCAGGCATGGCATTGTCTCATGGAGGGGGGATTCCACTCGAGAGCCTATTTCCCAAGCACAACATTGCAAGCGTATCTTGACTCTATTGCTATTTCCATGGCAAATGTTCAGATGGGCTCCATTCATTCATCTCACTAATTCAGATATTTATAGCTTGAACTCACTGTGCTACATCCATGGAGTCAAATCACCTTTATTTCCTCCATGTTCCAATTGTAAGGAGGAAGATTTTGATCAGTTTTCCCCTCCAAAAAAATTACTAGTTGGTGAAACAGATTCCCATTTGTATGTTTCCTTGAACACTATACTCTTAACCACTTCAAGTCAATGGTTAATCATTATTTAACTTTCTTATATTATTATCTTCACTTCTTTCTATCTCCTCTTCCTGTAAACCTCTACCTGGAAGGACTCTCGAGCCTTGTATTGGGTCAATTTTATTTTTTTTAAAATTGCTTCCTCATAACGATAATTACTCATCTCAAAAAGTCTCCTTAGAGGTCCAAGTACTGAATAAAAAAATAAAAATTTTGATAACAAATATGTGACCAAATTCTTTTGCTTAGAAAAATTTTCATTAACTTTACATGACATATCTGTTTTTATTGTGTATTTTTTAATCAGATTTTGATCAAAACTTTTTTGTAAAACAAGTTATTTAGCCACTGAATTAGTCCAGACCCCAAAGACTGGAAAGGCAAGTTTATTTTTTGCTTTTCTCTTAACCAAGTTAAATATTTTAAATTTAAAGATAAACAAAAAATTTACTGGATGTTGAAATAACAAAAAGCTGTTTTGCAGTAATCTCTGAATAGTTTGTTTTTATTAACATAAAAAATTCATTTATTTAGATTTATTTTTATATTTGTAAGTTTTCAGGCAATTTCTAGTGATAATTATTTAGCATTAATAATATTGTCTGGTTAAGTTGATTACATCTAACAGAATAATTAAATAAGAAGTAGGAAAATCTTCATAAATCTAATTTTTCCCTATTTAATTTAACTTTATCAGAAATACTTTCAAATTTCTAAAATATTTCTGATGAAGTTAAAGGTCAAAGAATGTTAAATTTATAATGATTTTCCTATTTGCTTTTTATTTAATCACACTGTTTGGGTATCAAAGATTTTACAAAGTCAAGATTATCTACCAATTTCACAATCTAATTGCTACTCTTTCTATTTCATGCAGGGAGGAACTTTTGGTTGCTGACCTACTGCCAAGTTTTTAAAATGAAATATTCAAAATAGAAAATTAGGTCAAAATTGAAAGGTGTTTTCAGAATATAATCTTTAATCACTTCTACTAGGAAAATATTACTCCTTTTTCTTAAAAATTAAAATTACAAGGAACCCTGTTTTTGTAGGTGCCAACTTTTCATCATTCTGGTCGTCATTGGGCCAATAAAATTGAATTAAGATAAATTAAAGTTCACTATTCTGCAACATAAAAGACAGTCAAACAAAAAGAATGCATCTGAAATTTATTATTAGAAATGGGTGTGTACATTGTGTAATGAGTACCAACATGGAAAGGGGAATTGGCAAGACATGTTCATATTTCAGTCTGTTATATTGAATAAAACATACATAAAAGAAAGATTGCTGCCTCAAAATATAAAATCTATCTGCCTATATATATTATGAAATAGCAAAATTGTCCAAATTATGTTACAGCATAATTATCCATCCCACAAAATATATATATATATATATATATATATCACTGATGAGTGGACAGAGTGATTGCTGGAGATCCATCTACAAAGGTCTGGTTTGGCTTGGTTTGGTTTGATTTGGTTTGGTTTGTTTTACGGCATATCAATCTCAATGAGTTATTTAATGCCAACAAGCTTTTTATTGCTGATAACTTTTTTTTGTTTCAAAACGTTTTTTAATTTATTGCTGTACTAAAAAACTTTCATAGTGTTTTGACCCCAGTTTGAGGGTTTAACTATTTGCCCATAATGGGACCCTAACAGGTGCTAGCACTTCAGGTCAGGGTGAACCTCGGAACACCAGCAATTAAGAGAACAATTAATAAGAACACCAGCAATTCCATGCTCCTCAAAACCTCCTGATGAGAGGCCTTTCTGCTGGATGTAGTTTATCGTCATACCCAGGACACTGCATTGCTGGGAGGCAGGTGTGTTCTTACCCTCTGCAGAGGTGCAATATATATATATACATACATACATGCACACACCTACATGCATATATACTTACCATAAAGATGACAACAGATCCTGAGAAGAAAAACTTTATAATACGGTTCCATATTGGATAATACCGTAATTTTTGATGAGAAATTGGGTCCTGCAAAGTAAAGATGAAATTTCATGTTAAGAACAATTTTATAAAGTATGAGCAGGCACAGTAGATGAAATTCAAGATATCTGTGACATTTATGAGTTTGTTGAACTGTAGAATTCAAATCAAAAATCAATCCTAATGTTATAAGCATAAAATTGACATATCATAAGATGCAAGTTACGGTACATACAAAAAATAGCTGTATGCTTATATAAATATTTCCCTAAAAATGACCATCAAAGTACTTATGTTAAGCTTTTTTATTGTATTTTTCTTGTATGCAAACAAGCACTTTCTTTTATGGACTTAGTGAATGCAGAAATTGCTTGTTTGGATTGTTCATTCTGGGTTGTGCTATTATAAACAGTCTAATAGCATTTACGCATCATTTACCATAGCACAACTAAAATCATTTAAGTCACTAATAGATCAGCTGAATGTGCTTGTAAGAAAGCTTCACTTGGACAATCACTAAGTTTAAGATTTTCTTTTTTTGATTTACCTTCACTAAGTCCACTTTTTTGCATAACAGAAAAAGACAACAGATAAATTTAACAGAAGTATTATGTCAGTCTTTTTTTTCTACATACAAGTGACAGATATATCTACTTGTAAGTATCAGGTAATCAAAAAAATTCTTGCAATTTTTGGTTCAATAATCATTTTCTTAAAATTTTTTTAAATCAATTTATTTTGTAACATGAAACTTTAAGCATTCATGCTGTAGTTTCTATTTCAAGTAATCATATTTACAATAAAGGAGAGTTGACAATATAAATAAAAAAAGAAGCTTATCTGTTCAAATAAAACATTAAGTTATGTTAATATCCTATTTTAGAACATTAGACAATTTTAAATATTCCAATGAAGTAAAAGTATATGCTTGAAGTACAAAAAGTGGATCTGAATGATTTTTTAAGCGTTATTATAAATGTGTTCTTAAGACGACTGAATGAAATATTCACCTACCGATGCTATAAGAACTAAACAGCTGAAAGAGCATGTTAAAAGTAATTAAAAAAAAAAAGATGCTAATCTAAATAATCAAGAAAGCTTTCTATGAGTGGGTGCTGAAAAGTTCTCAGCCCAACCCACTTCATACAAACTGATTTTTTTAAAGGTCTCTTGGTGATATTAAGAACTTTTCAGAATCTATTCATAATATGGTAATAATTCTGGCAAACTTTGACTTTCATGCTCACAAAAAAACAGTGTCAAAAAAGATGGTTTTTCCATTGACACCACTTATTATTTTAACTACCTTCACTCCTGAGCAATGTTTGCTGTTTTAAAAAGCAATGATTAGAATTTTAATAAAACCTAAAACATTCATATGTTTTAGGTTTTATTAAAACTCTAGGTTTTATTAAAATTGAATTTATAAATAAAATGTTATTTGTTCTTGAGAATTGACAACAAAAATATGCTATTTATTCAATTGTTTATTTAAACTATTTATTATATTGTTTACTGGAATGGTTAGCAATTGCTTATTGATTTATTGGAATGGTTAGATAATTGTTAATTGATTTTGACTTTATAAAATGGTAAATAATAAGCATTTCCTTAGAATTGGTTCATATATTTTAATAATTTAGTAAATGTTTATAAATTTATAAACAAAAAATTGTTTTCATATTTATTTTATAAATTGGTAAATGATAAATATTGCATTGCATTAGTTTTAATTGCATTAGTTTTTAGAATGTTGTAAATATAAAAATATTCTTGTAAATAAACAAATAGTGTTTATTATTTTTGTTGTAAATTCTCAAGAACAAAAAATGTATACATTTACTTTCATTTACTTGTTTAGGTTTTATTACAATTCTAATCATCACTTTTTAAAACAATAAACATTGTCAAGGAGTGAAGGTAGTTAAAATATAAGAGTGTCAAGTGAAGACTGTCTATTTGATATTGTTTCTTTTTTCTATAATTTTAATGCATTGAAATAGGAAAATTCCTCATCTGGTTTTTTCATGGAGCTTTTTAAATCTTAATAAGTAAAAATAGACTTAGCAGATTGATAAAATCGGAAAAAGTTATTAGGCTTTTGAGATTTTCTATTTGAATCTCAGATCAAAATAAGAAAAGCAAGAAAGAAGACCAAATACAAGAAGTAAGGATGTAAAAAACAATATAAAGAGAGAAGAAAAAAACAAATAGCATTAAAAAAAGACACGGAACCATAATCAAATTCCAATGTTGATCATTTGCCAAACTGACTTAAATTTATTAACTCAGTTGTTTTCTACATTCATAAATTTCTAAAGACTAATAAAAAATCTTTTTGAAGAATGACAAATAAAATTTCCTAATTTGCTGTTAAATCACAAATAATAACCAAATGGAAATTTATTAAATGTATTCAATCTGTCATCTTCTTAATTATTTCGTTATCTAGTATTTTAAATAATAATTTTTTTTTTTTTTTTTTTTGAATAGGTTAAGAGTGTAGTTCATTAAGCCAGTTTAAAATAGAATCCCACATTTCTTGGTTAAGTTGCAATTACTTTTGGATATTTTACGCGATAAATCATTAGACGTGCACAATGCAAGGGAAGTAACTTTGTTGAAAATAATAAACAATCACGTCTATCATTTCCCTTGAAATTTTCCTTTTTTTTTTTGATATTTCTAAAAAGTTAATGAACTCATTTTTAATACAACATTTACTTCAAACATTATTGTAGAGAATATAATCGGCTGTTTATTAAAATATAAAAGATCAGAATTAATCTGTTCATAATATTTCAAATTGTGGTTTATATTTCAAGTAATCATTATTTATCACCGTTATATTGAGATGAAGGCAGAATATTTATCTTTTTTTATATTTTCTTTAAAATAATAAACATGAAATGTAATTATTAATTATTGGCTAGTATTTCTTTCATCTTAATTATTGTTGGCACTCTGAATTGTTGTGATGAAAAGAAACTATAATTAAGATGAAAGAAATAGTAATCAAATATTAATAATAATGGCTCTCAATGCTTCATTTAATAAAACAAAAAAACAAGTCATGATAATGCTGTAAAGTTTATAAAAGATCATTCGTTTATAGATGAACGAAAATAAAGCATAGAGAGTGCTTAAAAAGAACTGTTTCCATTTATAACACCAAGTAGATTTTGTTGTTATGCTTAAAAAATCTGTTATAAATTGTAAATCATTAAAAGTTTGAAAATTTGGAATTTATAAATAATTGAAAAGAGAACTGAAAGTAGATAAGTCTGTGGCTGGTTCCAGCTAGAGTGACAAATTGGTGAGGCTCATGACTAAAGAAAAGAAATCAGCTATCCACTATTCACCAATCTTCTTCAAGTGAAATTTTATATGAGGCAGAGAGAGTTTATACTGTCACCTGCTACTTTTCTTTTTATTAATCATTTCACCTCCAAGTAACATGATAATACCATGAAGATGCAAAGAGTTACTTGGAATGAAAGAGAATGAGATTTAGTGGGGAGAAATGGCAATAAAAGAACAGGTTTCAGGAAGATAGATGATGATGATTCTCATTGAATTTAAATTTTTGAAGATCGTAGTTGGCAGGAAATCAAGAAATCGGGTAGGAAGTAATTATTAAGATAGAACTTATAGTTACATCTAGCTAATTCAACAGTAAAATGGTGAGACCTAGCTGCCAATCTAGTAGTACACTTAAATTCATAGAGTCAAGGTACCAAAGAGGAAAGAAGAATTGGAGGCATTAAAATTTCGTAAACCATTATTTACCTCAGTTAACCACTGATTGGAGGTTATTTTTGGGAGCAGTTGCCAGTTTTACTTTGTCAGACATATCAGGCTTACTATGAAAGCAGGAGTAAATAGTTGTGTTATCAGCATAAATACATAGTTTAGAACTGATGACATTGGGAGGGTCATTAATGAAGATAGTGGGGGAAACAACATTGAAATTAAAATTTCCTACCAACCAAATGCTGAACCAAGAGGATGCCGTCAACTATTAATAAACATCTATTTTTCAAGAACATCATGGAAAAGAACAAATAGCAAAAAGTACAAGATTTGCTTCATACACAAATCAATTTTAAAAGTATTCCCAACATATCAAGTATGTCCCTCTGCACTGGCTTTTATGTTATGAAGACTATAGATATGACCAATGACATATAGAGCAAGTGTCATGGTCAACATAAAAACAGAATGGGGACTTTGTTAAAACCCTTAAAACCCAAACTGGAAAAGAGCCAACAACATCCATATATAAGATAGTTGTTGAGCTAAACACAAATTCAAAAATCATCAGAATAGTCAGGCAGGATGACCTGAACCTTAAATCAAACACCATGACATTAAGGGTAACTCTTCATGTTGTCCATGAAGGTCAGGAGGCTGGAAAGGCACAAAAAGTGCTCAGATACCTACAAAAATCATGAGTAACAGTAAACTGTTCTGTAAATATTCTCAAACAAGAAAATCTTCACAGTGGATGCTGTTTTGAAGTGATAAAATAATATTAGCTCATGCAATTAACATTTAATATCCTGGACACATTCAGGATGAAACATCAAGCTCAGGTTATGGTTTTGGGAATTGTAATGTCTAAGAGGAAAATGATACCTCCATTGATCAACAAGTTTGGAGAAAAAGTGCATACTGATGAGGTACTACATACTGATAGAGGGCAAATATGCATTGACTCAGGATGGTACCCTTACAGAAGTTCTGCAAACCTAGACTTCTGGCCCTTCTCTAGCCCTGGCCTGAACCCATTAGACAATTACAATGTGAAATGTTTTGGAATAGACCAACAATAAAACCTCCTACCATCAATATCCTATGAAGGGGACCAAGTAACCCAAGATATTGTAAAACTTTGTGCAACTTTTCAAGTCATATTGATGCAATTGAAAATAATAGAAGTGACATAATAATATGATAAATTGAATTACTAATTAAATTGAATCAATTATGAGCTTTATTAATACCTTTTGCTTAAATTGACCGATTTTTTAATCATTTCACCCCAAGCAAAAGCCACTAAGATGTAAGGGGTTACTGAGTGTTAGATAATGTGAGAAAAAAAAGCACTATTAAGGAGAAAGAACAATAAAAGAACAACAATTAAGAAGACAAAAGACAAGGATTGACATTGCATTTAAATTTTTTAAAATTGAAATTGACTGGGAAACAAGAAGATGAAAGAGATTGCCACAAGAAAGATGTGCAATAGAAGAAACTGGTAACATATAACTGACAGTTAGATCTAGATGCCATTTCAATTAATATTAATACAAAGTGTATTACATGTATAAGGCCTATAATAAGTGAGTTTTGAAGGCCATGGCAATTTTGTCAATTCTACTTTTCTTTCCTGAATTATAGTTTCTGATCAATGCTGTGATGTCCTTATGTCTTCTCGGTGACTTTCAATACCAAGCTAACGCCATTTTCCTTTTATTATTTTTAAAATTCATCTCTGCTAGTTTATTTTTTCTCATCACTCATAAATGATATTAATTTCTGTTATTCCTTTAATTATTCAATTTTTGATAAAAACATGTTTATTTCTGTATTTTCTAGTGAAGTTCTTTATCTTTTTTAGAAAGTTCAACCTAGAAGGAACTAGTGATCTTTTTATTCTTATGATCTGCAATACCTGATCTTGTTATCTCCCTTTGGACCATATAATCTCTGGCATTCCCAAGTTGTATTTTTATAAAATACCTGTTCTTACTTTTACATTTTCCATTGCAGTTGCATAGTATGTTGTACACACAATTTATGATCATTTTTTTTTTAATTGGAGTCTTAACTTTCATGAGTTGATTATAGAGAGTGATACTGTTTCAAAAGGCTATTGTAATATCTCAACATGTTATGAAGGAAAAGCAAAAAAAAAAACAGAGGAAAATATTTTTTGAAATCACTGAATATGAAAGATTTAAATAATGGGAAGCCAATAGAAATGAAGTGAATTCCTAAATGTCAGCCAAGTAAAATTCCTAAACTCACAGAGGAGAATGAAAGTGATTATTCTGAACCAAGTATTTTTGGTTTCTATGAATGAAAATCTTCAAATGCCTTACATATTGTGATAGAAAAAGAGAGCAATAGAAAAGCAAAAAGAAAATTTACTTCATATTGTTTGCTTCCATGAAATTCTGGCCGATTTGGTTCCAGGGCCTCATAATTGACAACATCCCACTGATGGGCAAGTTCAGCAGATTTTCTTTTCCATACTTCCATAAATATTGTACCTTGAAAAAGAAACATCTTTGAAATTTAGATTCTACATTAAAAGAAATGTTTCAATTTATTGACAGGGTGACTAATTTTGTCATGTGCATGTGTGTAAAATATGTTTCTATGTGTGCATGCATATTTGTCTATGTCTTTGTGCATATAACTGTATGTATATAAAAGTAAAGGTACATTTAGTATGTGTGTGTGTGTGTGTGTGCAAAGATACATTTATATGTATCTTTGATACAAATATTTGATGTAAATCTTAAAATTGATACAAATCTTTGATACATTTGTGTGTGCAAAGATACATTTCTATATTTGCATGTGTATGTTTATGCACATATGCATATAATTGTATATATGTAAAAGTAAAGGTGCATTTCTTCATATTTGTGGGCATGTGTGTACATGCAAGTGACTATATGAGTAAAAGTTGTGTGTAGCATATATTTTATATATGTGTGTATGTGCGTGTACATATACATATGCATATGTGCGATTTCTTTCTCTCTCTGTATCTCTATATGTTATTGTGTATAAAAACAAAGCCTCAGTCGACCTTATCACTTTGGTCATTATCAAAGACCCCCTCCCAATGATAATCTACAAAAGGAAATATAATAAAGAAGAAATGATCAAAGAGAAAAATTCTCTAACTTACCCCATAAACAGATTATTAAGGCAAAGTATGGAGTAATATCATTGTCAAATGATTCTTGTATCACAGAAAGTACATCTGACACAGTCCTCTTCAAGCTGAAAAACAGCATTAGCAAAGATAACTAGATCCTGTCAAGGATGACAGTGGTAATAACAGCATTTTCGCCCTAATAATGTCTGTACTATAGAATAGTTATAAGAAAGTGATTTACTCGAGTGAGACATTTTTCTCCATCAGTGATTTACGGCATGTCAAGAATAAAAAATTTTATCAGAATAGCTTTTTCAAAGTGACTAGAAAAAGCCACAACCAAAATTTGAACTTATTCAGGTAACTGTTATGACATTGCACCTTATTAGTTAAAAATAACATGTAAATCTTCCCTGCACCATCTCTTCTAAGATATTAGGGAAATCTTAGAAACGTTTTACAATTTTGTTCAATTCTTTATTACATTATGATTCATGATGATAATGATATTTCATCATCCTAGAAATAAAGATCTAACATTTCATCATTATAAAAACAATTTTTCCTTCACAAGCAACGTAGCAGTTCTAAAAAGTACAACACAGACTGGACAAGACATATCTTCTTCACTCTGTGAAAATCCTAAGTTGACAGTTTCAAAAGCTTCCTTAACCACAAAATTTTCAGAACAATTATAAACAATTAAGACCAAATTTTAAAGAAACAAAAATAGACAATAACCCTGAGACCATTTAATATGCAAAAAAACAATATTGTAAATAACATTCACAAAAAGAAAAATATACATTCTTGTCATTAATTTCAACATGTATCCCAAAGTTTTATTGTTGTATGTTATTGTTGTACATTTTATTCATTTCATTTTCAGTATAAAAAAAGAGAGAAGGATTCCTCTATCAACTACTAATACATGTAAACACAGGGTAAATTACATTAACAACTCAACCTTCAATCCTGTTACAATTACTTGTCATCAAGCCAACTCTTGTTGCTTAAAAGTATTATAAATTCAGAACTTAGCACAATGGTTTTCAAATTAATTTATGGAAAGGAACTTTGGTCAGTATTTGAATATTTGTTGTTTTTTCTCCTCATTCCATACAGAAAAGAAATTGAAGAAAATAGTTGCTGGTGATAAAAATGGATTTATTATAAGAATTCTTTGTCGAAAACAAAAAAAAATTGTGGCAAGATGCCATACAACCTTCAACATATCAGATTCCATGGAATGTATAGGGATGGATTTTTTTTTCTCTTTGGTAGAATTCAAAGATAATTATTTATTGTAAATTATTTGAAACAGTTCTTATGCAATAATCGAGTGAGATGGAGAAAAGACTTTTTTGTTGTGTTAAAAATTCAATTTTATTGCATGGAAATGGATTGGCATTTCATTAGAATTTTTCAATGTACCATATATTCTCTAGACCTCTCATTTTCAGACTCTGTTTTTTCTTTCACTCTATACAAGATCCTTTGCATGAACAACCAGCTCAAGATATAAAAAAAATTCTTAAAAAATTCAATAAATCAACAAATAGAATCAGCCTTTTTTATGATGAAATAAATAATTTTACGGAAAAGTGGTAAAAACTGAAGAAAAGCCATGTCTCTTCAGTTACCTCCCTTTAACTAAACTCTCCAAGTTTTTGTTCACCTCTGCTGTAGCCAGGTATTGAACTCACAACTCTTTGGGTCAAGTCAATAGATTATTTCAACAAATACTTTTATCCACTGAGCCAAGTATCCTTGAGGAGATCACTGCTTGAATTTTGGGGATTTATAAACAATGTCTCAGTAACCATTTTTTTGTTGTTATTCATTGCTTTTCTCTAGTACTCTGTATTACTGGCTCCCATATTCTATTCATTTCTATGCTTGGCCAGCTTAGGAGATTTTTATAGCCTAGAAGATATGTTGATTCGTTCTCATTTTTTCCAGTGATGATCTCAGTCTATTATTTCAACCTCATCCCACAGTGGGCGGTGATTTCCCTTTTCCCTCCATATATGTTCAGCCACACCTTATTTTTCAACTTCAGCTCCCACCACCCCTACAGTGTAAAGAAAGAGATTGTCTGCTGCCTGCAACATTGAGCAAAAGTCATAAATGGTGATCCAGAGACGTATAAATGGTCAGTGTAAGCAGTACCTACAACATAACAACTACCCTGGTTACATGGCAGCAGCTCCAAAAAGCTGGGATAGAAGGGTACAAGAGGATAACAATACTCAGAAAACAGCCTCAGGCAGTCTACCACATATGAAGGGGTTATTGGAAAAATACAAAAGATTTGTGGTCCATATAACATCAGAACAACCTTCAAAAGTGGTTCAATACTTTGCAGACACCTCTTCCAAATAAGACTCCCCATACAGGAGAACATGACTAAGAACTGTGTGCACACCATCCCATGCAGCTGTTGTAAGAAATATAAAGGAGAAACAGGCCACCTCCTTAAGATAAGAGTGCAGGAACACTGTAGAACCATAACATGAGGGGAAATAGAAAAATCAGACATGGTTAACTATATGGAGAAAAAAGAGGGATCTACACCCCCTGTAGGATGAGATTGAAATAACAGACAAAGAACATCACTGGCACAGTGGATAAAAGCATTGGTTGAAGTAATCCTGTGACTTGACCCAAAGAGTGGTGAGTTCAATACCTGGCTACAGCAGGGGTAAAACTTAAAGAGTTGAGTTAAAGGGAAATAACTGATACTAAGTTATCTAGAAGAGGTATGGTATGTGGAACTAGAACAATCTATCCTGGTGGATGAAATAAAGGGTTTGGCTCGAAATTACAATCACCTGAAGAAGGCTGGAGTTTACAACAGCCGAAGTGTTGTGAATATGGCAACAAAGATGAGGACAACAGTCCAAGCAATGTAATTGGCTAAATAATTATAATACCTTATCTTAGAAATATAGACAGATCCTGAAGATGGCTGCAGCATACAATAGCCAAAATGTTGTGAATATGGCAACAAAGATGAGGTTCAAACAATGAAATAGTGTAAATAGTTATTATTCAGTTATTCATTATCCTGCAGGATTACTTAGTCATTTTTTTTATTTCAACAAGAATATGGTTTAAGGAAAAGGTAATATGATACTGAAAACTTCCATTTGAAACCTTCTACAAGCTGACAGCCATTTAACTCCATTATAGGGATTCTGCGAAGAGAGTAAAATCAGTTTTCTTGTCTACTTTGAAGAAAATTGGCCAAAGTGTGTAAAAAGTAGTAAGGAAACTAAATTCCAGAAGTTCCAAATCCCCAAACCCTGTTGAGACAAGAAGAAGATAAAAATGTAAGTTTTAAAGAAGCAAAAATTCACTCAATTATCTCAGGACTTTAAAATTGTTTATCTGATATGGTGAAGTGACCAGTAGATTGTGAAGTGTTAAAAAGAAAAAAATTGATTTTCTGAATGATCTTGAGAGAAAAAAGTGATTCTCCTAAAAATTGTCTTAGAAGATTTAGGGAAAATTATAATACTGACGGTCAAATATAGTGAGGGAGATATTTTGGTAGGGAGCACTTTCTTGGCTAAAAATGTTTCATTGCTGATCAAGTGTGAAAAACCTTGAGCACTGCAAAATACTGGGATACTTTCTTTAGTGGATTGTTTCCCACTGGCCTGAAAATATTGTCTTTTAGCAGGACCATGCTCTTTTGCTATTTTATTAGATCCACCATAACCTGACTGAAAGAAAATGGCTTTAAGATCATATTCTGTCACTGGATATGAAACCAAATGAGAATATATAGAATTCTATACAATTAAAACTAACAGGTAAAAAAATTCTCTGACACAGTTTATGAAATACAGTCCAAGAACAATAAGATTCTGTATCAATTGATTTTTTGAAGAAGCAGAGAAATCAAAGATTATCAGGATTGAATCATTAAATATTGCTAAAGGTGGTCAAAAAATATTATTCTACCATCTTATGTTTGCTCTTTCTGTGATTTTTATAACATTATTGATGAATTAATTTACAAGTTATACATAAATAATCATGAAATCTGCTTGGCCCACTGTTTTGGTTTTCTTTTTGTTATGTACAGGTGTGTAAGATGTAAAATTAAATATTTGTTTAGACATTTAAAAAATGATATCTACCAAGTCTTACCTGTCTATGGCAGACACAGATGAATTATAACTTGAGTTCTCATTCATTACATTATAACTGCAAAACAAATAGATAAAATCAAATCAAATATTGAAAAGGAAGACTTATAAAATCATTAGAATTATATGGTCTAAGAAAACAAAGTTACTATTTAGATAATACCATACATATGATAGAACGGCCACTTATTGTTGATACATTGACATTTTTTGGTTGTACAATGTAAATATTTTAAAAAAGAAAAAAACAGAACCCTTTAGAACAAAATTAACTAACATTGAAAAATGAATTTAAGAAATTTTATTTTAACAGAATATGTAAAAGTTATGTTTATGGATTTTATAAAGGCACTCAAGACACCATGTCTAATTTTAAAACTCAATTTCTGTTTTTAACTTGAGTTCTATTTTTTGTATTTATTTTAATATTTATTTATGATAAAATCATAGCACTATAATGAACTGGACTGAAATTGAACTTTGCACTTCAATTTTCCTACTATCAATTACACCACTTATACATGCATGAAAGAAATCAAAATGATAAAAAAAATTATATTTCTCTGTAAATTTGATTTTATGGAAAAAGTAAATTAAACCATGTAAACTCCTAATTTCAAAAATAATTTAGAAAAAAATGAGGCTGTTTTTTATATTTGCTTTATATATTTCTAACTTCTACTTATCTCTTTCTACTCATCCTTTCTCTCTCCTCATTTATTTATATATATATATATATATATATATATATATATATATATATATCAACCATGACAAAGATATATATAGATAGATACATACAATCAGTTTCTTAATCAGCCAATTATTAAAGATGGTTGAGTATCTTATGGCTGTACTACTTGTATTTGCTCACTACAATTGTTCATCATATTAATAACACTGGATTGATTAGTGACATTCTTTTATAGCTTATCAAAATTTTCTAGAATTTTTATCTATAACTCTATTATTAAAATCAGTCAACCTTTCAAAGGCCATGTAATATCTACAGCCTGTCTGAAGTTATTATGCAAAGCACATAAACTTCATTAACTCAAATTTACTTTGACAAATCATTGTCAAATTTTAAACTATTAATTTAGACATCAAAAGAAATCTTGAGTTAAATGTTTATGTAGTTTCAATGTGTCTTATTAAAGTTATTGTATTTATTATAAAAACTGCAATCTGAAGTTATTATGCAAAACCAGAAAATCACTTTTTAATTCAATAACCAGGTAATAAAATTTGCCAAAGATTTTTCAAAGCAAATTCAAGTTAAAAACAGAAATCACTCTAAGATACTCAGAACACTGCAATTATATATATATATATATATATATATATATATATATATATATATATATGAAATGATACTGAAAAGTTCTTAGCCTGAATTATCTTCAAAATAATTATTCTGATACTTGATCAATGAAATATGAATTTGAGGAAAAGGGGTTGTGCTGAGAACCTACATATATAAGTAAGTAATGGATTTTAATCCAACATTATTTTTATGACTATAAATATTATTTTAAGGGATGTGTGAGTGGACATCCCCATTATTTAAACAGTGAAATTAATATCCACTGGCTTAGGTGTATTTTAAAATAATATAGCAGGGTTTTTTGTTTTGTTATGACCTATCAAACTTTTGAAGGTTATTTAAAATCAGAAAATATTTTTAAATTGTAAGAAATTTGGGTAGATAATAACAATTTGCTGATGCTAATTAACCCGTATCTGGGGGGAGAGGAGGTGTATTCATACCTTTCCTAAGGGTATTTCCATGTAAGTGAATATAACAAGTGAAATTGGAACTCAGTTCTCTGATTTCTAATTACAAACCATTATCCATTATGTCACCTGTACATCCACGCTTACAGCACCAATTGGTTACCCCTCTAAGTACTGACCAGACTTGACATTGTTTAACTTTAGTGATTGTACAAGAAGTGGTGATTTAATGTGATATGGCCATAAGCCCCTCCCAGTAGGGATCAAGCCTTCATTCCTTTTATCCTGAGAAACTACCTTTTAGTCAGGTATGCTTTAAAGCATTGATCATAGAAGTTTCTAAAACAAGCAAGACTGGATTACACCTTTTATGAAATCTTCAACTTGGAAGTTTGATGTCTATGTTTGCTAACTTATATTTTTATATCCCAAAAATAAACACAGTAGAGACCTATGTGGCTGAACAGTTAAAGCACACCTGAATAAAAAGTGGTTTCCTAGTATAAAGAGAATGCAAATTCAAATCCTGCCAGGAGGTACATTTTCTTTAATAAGACTTTCTGTTGTCTATGCAGGTGGACATTAATTTCATTTTTTAAAAAAACAGGTTTGTCCACTCAAATACATGTATCCACTAAAATAACATTTATAGTAATTATCAGCACCTGAAGATTGGGTTGTGCATGAAACTTCAAGTCATGCTATCAGTGAGGATAATATATATATATATATATATATATATATATATATATATATATATATATATATATATATATATATATACACATTATTTACATTATTCGGGCTATTGTCCTCATCTTTGTCGCCATATTTATCACAATGTTTCGGCCGTTGTACGCTCCGGCCTTCTTCAGGTGGTTAGAATGTTGATTTTTCTACTTCCCCTCGTGTTACAGCTTTCTGGGAAGTAGAAAAATCAGGGGTGGCTGACCACATATAGAGAGAGAAGGGAGATCACCGCCCTCAGTGGGATCATGTTGAGATCATAGTTCAGGGGACACTATTGGAAAATTCGTAAACTTAAGGAATCAACACATATGCTAGGCCACAAAAATCTCCTGAGCCGACCAAGCATAGAAATAAATACAATATCGGAACCAGTAATAAGGAGTGCCAGAGAAAAGCAATGATAACAACAAAAAGTTGCAATATGAGCTCTGGTAAAAACATGCAATGATAACAGCAAAAATTGCAATATGAGCACTAGTAAAAATGGTTGCTGAAGACATTAGGTTTTTAATACCCAAAAATTCATACCCAGATGTCCTCAAGAACACATGGCACAGTGGATAAAGACATTAGATCCAGTGACAGGACCCAAAGAGTGTTCAATACCTGGTTAAGGCAGTAGAGAAATTAACAGGAGATAACTGGTAACTGACATCCATAAAAACATGGCATGTGGAACTAGAACAGTCTACCCCAGTGAGTGAAATAAAGGGTTCAGTTTAACATTCCAACCACCTAAAGAAGGCTGGAGTGTACAACAGCTGAAATGTTGTGATAAATATGGCGACAAAGATGAGGACAATAGTCTGAATAATGTAAATAATGTACATAATACCTCATCTCAGAAATACAGACATATATTTATTAATATATATTTAATAACTCTGTTGTATTACATTGACCACTGTTTTATATGTATATATATATATATATATATATATATATATATATATATATATATATACATACAATCAAGTTGTTTGTTGATAATATTAATGGTCATCAGTAGCATAGAAAAGTGGTGCAGAGGTTACAATGGCCTCAGTTATCCATATCAGGAGGGAAGCCAATCTAAAAGTGAAATAAAATTTTAGTTTATATTTAATTTGAATAAATTATTTATTTCATATTTCATGTTTTTCCATATTTAAAATGTCTTCCTTTCTCACATTTCTCAGTACTAGGTGACCTATAAGCTCCACCCCCCTACTTGAGCCTTAAGGGAATACTATCAAGAAGTTGGACCTGAGCATCACCGAACCTCTGCATGTCACTCATCGTGATATTTAATTTTCTAAAAAAATAAATGCTAAAAAAGTAACTTATCTTAACTATTTAGACATTAGAGAAACTTCCGCTAACAAAGGTACTATTGAAAATAGTCTCAGTATACATATTTATTAATGTAATTACTGATTCATAAAGCATTCTGTAGACAAGGTCGTCCAAATAAATTTCAAACAAAATTTCTGCTCATCTTATTAAAACATATCCACATGATTTGCAGATATTTTTAACCACAATAAGATGACAAATATTACAAAAACAGTTTTTAATGACTATTTGTAATACAAGGCATGGTAAAAATGTTTGTGATGTCTTTCTTTTCTTTGATTTTTCTCAGGCATATTGTTTGATTTATGAAGAAGTTAATTGTAATATTTGCTTACTTGCACTAAAGGAAAATGATGAAATCTGAAAGAGACAAATCCTGGGTATTGTAAAGTGCTCACATGAAAAATGATGACTGACACATGAAAAGGTTCCATGTGAGAATTTAATGTGTCTGGTTTAAGAAGTAAACGTGACTACAGGCAGGTTTAGTCAAAACAATGCTTATTCATCAGAATGTGCTACTCATTCATTTACATATTAAAATAAAAAACAACATGCACATTCTCTCTTTCTACTCTTTCCTTTTTCACTTACTCTCTTTCTTTCTCTATCTCACACTCTCTTACTCAGATATGTGCAGCACAGGCATGCTTTTAGGGGCAGTAAGTGTGTGTGTGTGTGTGTGCACATGTGGTTATATTTTATATATCTACATGTAAAAACCTTTCAAAATGTGATTTCTGTGGACACATAAATAATGAATTATGTCCCTAACACCAAATACAACCACCTCGTAAATAATTTAAGAAAAGCAAAAAGTCACCTGGAAGCTAATCAAGATCTCAACCCATAACCTCTCCAAAGAAACAACTATTTTCAGTAATTCTCATCTACTATTGTTTCTCAGGTAGAATAAATTAGTTTACAAGGAGGTGCTAAAAAATTACCAAGACAAATCACTTCCCAAAATCTGACTAAATATTTTTGTGAGGTGGGGAGACTTCTTTTTAGTACCAACTCATACTTACATTTTAATCATAAATGTATGCATGCTGATGTTTATATATAAACAAAACAGTATGTAAATCATATTCAGACATGAAACTGACTGTCATTACATTATGCAGTGTTGATTCTTTTTGTCCACACTGTCTATATCTATATATGCTCTAATTCTAATATCAAACATTTTTCCACATAAAAAAGCAAATGTTAAACAATATAAAAACATAAAAAATATATAAAAAAAAATTTTGTCATACAATTTTCATATAATATAAAGAGCATACATAGACATTTAATATGTATGTATGTATATATATATATATATATATATATATATATATATATATATATAAATTAATGAATATCAAACACTTAAAAATATTATAGGTAATAATCTTTATTTCATGAAAGCTATAAATTAACCTTCAATCTTTCAATCCTGCAAACCAAATATATATCTATATATATATATAATATATATATATATATATATATATATATATATATACATACATATATACATACAGAAATACACATACAGAAACATACATATACATACACATACATATATGCATACATGCATTCATATATGCATGGTGACTGCCAACTCATGTCTGAGTAAAGCCATTAACTACATATATTTTTGGAGAATATCTACTGATGTGCTGAACAAATGTGGTTTTTTTAGCCCAGCAAGGGACCTACACCCTCTGGTACAAACAGAGCACTTAAGAGGTGCAACAGCAGGTGTTACATTATCATGCAATTTAAAATGTCACATGAAGCCACTTCTGAACCTGCATGTTTTACTGCAAATATCACAATTTCAGTTGCTGAACATCTACAGCTTTACAGTCAATTGCCACCCTCCGTCGGTGCGCTCTCAAGTGACTCCTTAGACGAGTCATCGACAAACACACTCTACCACAATCTGTACATGTCAGATCAAGCTGCCTGTGGGTGTCTTCAGGAAGTTCAATGGAGACACCTTTACATGCATCTCTTTTAAGCCTTGCGTGCATCCTCTTCCACTCCTCAAAGTGACACCTTCCACTATGAGCAGCTTCATTCCAGTTATTGTGACCAGATGCACATTTTTCCCAGTGCTCACAAGGAATGTTGCATTTCTTCAGTGCATCCTTGATGTAGTCCTTAAAGCGTGTCTTAGGTTTGACAACATTTCTCTTCCCTGTTCACAACTCACCATAAAACAATTGTTTGGAATATGGCTGTCATCCATTCTGACAAGGTGGCCCACCCACTTAAGTTGAGGTTTTAGTATTAAGGAATCAGTACTATCACAGTTGCTCCTCTCTAGCATGTCTACATCACTAACAAACATTTGCCAGGTAATGCCAAGAATACAACATAAGCAGTACTGGTGGAATCTCTCAAGCCTTTTCATCAGTTTGCAGTAAACTACCCATATCTTACAAGAATAGATACACACACACACATGTGCATATATAGATATATATGTATATATATATATACATACACATATATATATACACATACATATGTATACATACATACACATATATATACATATATATATATATATATATATATATATATATATATATATATATATATATATATATATATATACACACACATATATATATATATATATATATATGAAACCAGTCAATCAGTCATATGAGAGTCCAATAGTTCAGTTTAGAACTGAACTAGTTGACTAACTACATAGATGATTCAATTATAGTAGTTAATGTTGTATACACATGTGCATGCACACACACACACGCGCACACACACACACACATACACATACATATATATGGCTGGTGTAAACTTGGTGCTTCGGTGTTAGTTTTCACTCTGTACATATGTTTCTGCAGATGACTGTAACAACCAAAGTTGCATGGCAAAAAGCAATAAGATAAAAAATAATATTTTTCATTTTGTTCTAAAAGTTAATATTTTAAATCACCAAACCTTGAAGCAATAAAGAAAAATTTTGAAAATGAAAAATACAGACAATCCAGAACATTCCAATAAATTCAAAATCTATAAAGATGTAAAAGGTGTGTGGGTGGGAAAAGGGTCAAAAAATGAGAAGTAAAAAGAAAGAAAAAAGAAAAAATTCACAAAATAAATAAATAAAGAAAGAAAATTATGGAAAGAAAGAAATGATAAGATAAAAACAATAAAGAAAGAAAGAAAATTATAGAAAAAGAAAGAAAGAAATTAAAAACTAAAAAAGAAAAAAGTACAAAGAAGAATTAGATAAAAGTCAAAAATGAACAGAAAGAGAATGAATAGAAAGAAAAAAAGAAATTGAAAACTAACAAAGATAGAAAGTAAATAAAAAAAATAGAGATGAAATATGAAATGAACAAAGGGAAAATGATCAGAAAGGAAAAAGGAAAGAAAGTTAAAAAAGACAAGCATTTACTGTACAAAGAAGAAGAATTACAAAGGATGCTGCAAAAGGAATGGTCTCTATTTATTTCCATAGAAACTACAACATACACAGGGAACACAATAACACTACAGGATAGAGCAAGTTTTCAGCTATGAAATACTGTTTGTACATAAAATTACCACCCTTGGCTATGTCTTTTCGTCAGTGATGCCTTGCATGCAGCATTCATAAAATTTTGTGCACATCCAACCAAAACATGGCTTGTTGCACACATCACTGTTGCTGATGTGGAAATACATAAATCACCAACTAATTGTGCTCACATCCACTGTTTGGTCTCCATAAATGATTAGCATGTGTCAATTTTCCACACAAAGGAATTTAATGCATGCTTTCATGTCAGATCTCTTTTTGCCAAACTACCACACAAGTACTATTGTAACAAGGCAAATTATTGGTTATTTAATGGGAAACTCCATCATCTACTGCCATAAGATCAACTTTTACATCTGACATTGAGAATCAACATAATAAAATAGGAGGCATTACTTTTGATGTGATCCTCATAGAAAAAGACACACAAGGGAAAAGGAAAATATGAAAGAATTTGAAGGGAAATAAAGATTACAAAATGAAGAAAAAAAGAAAAATTGAGGTAGAAAATGTTTGGAAGAGAAGAGAGGGAGAGAAAGAAAGAAAGACAAAGCCCAAAACTGAGAGATAAGGAAAAGAAGATAATATATAGTTAAAACAAAGAGAAGCAAAAGATAAATGCAGAGAGTGGGGGTATTTAAATAAGAGACAGTAAGAGAATAATGTAGAAAAAAAGAGAAAGGAAGGAAAGAAAAAAGAGTAAGTAGCATTAAGTAAGAAAAAACTGAAAGGAAAAGATGCAAGATGTAAAAAAGAAAAGATAGACAGAACAATAAAAGAAGGGAAAATGTTAAAGTGAGAGAGAAAGAAAGATTATAAATAAAAAATAAAATTGATGTGGGTAAAATAAAAGGGAGAAGTAGAGAAAGAATAAAAATAGTAATGTTCATTAAAAAAGTCAAATTTTTTTTTAAATGTTCATCATTCAAAAGAAAAGGCTAAACAATTGTTCACATGGTTGGTACATAAGTTTTATAGCCATGCAAAAATTTAAAAATTCATATTCGCAAAAATCCAAGAATTGCACTCTATAATTTGCAGAGATAATCAAACATCAAAAAATATAATTATTTGTGGATCACAACATTGCAAGTTTCAAGCAATAAGAAGAATGCACATGTTTGTCTTTTTATTAATAACAATTTAAGTCTAGCTTCTAAAGAATAAATATATTTTTAATTTATTAATTGTTCAAAGGCTTTGCTATGTATTAAGGGGAGACAACTTATAGATGACGTGTTTTTTGCATTTAATTGTATAAACCAAAAGATTATGACCAACAACATGTAACAAGGATGACAGCTATTACCTTATAATAATTGCACATGTTAGGTGTATAAGCAAGTAAGACAGTTTTGATTACTCTATTTTGATGTAGAGATGCTATAATTATAGGCAGAAAGAAAGAGTGACTTTGATAAAAGACAAATTCTTATAGCCAGAAGACAAGGTTAGAGTATTTCTGAAATGGTATGACTTGTGGAATGCTCATGTTCAGTTGACTAGATATTTTTACTAAATACAAGCCAGCAGAATGTTACTGCAGTATGATTTTCAGATAGTGTTAATGAAGGTAGAGGAGTGAATGTGTCACAACAAATATTACATAAATCCTTGTTAGATAGGGACTGCAGAGACACAAATCAAAAAGCCCAATATTCATCTCCAAAAGAATTTTCAACGAAAACATGAGCATTGCAATTGAAGTTGTTTCAATGGAAATAGAACCATCTGGTTTGATTTGTCTCATTTTCTCTTGAGTAAAGTGGACAGCATAGAACAATGGGTACCATGTACTGTTGGAAAAACAACAAATTGGTGGCGACATGGCCAATGTTCTGCTGGGAAACACTAGATGCCATTAGTTATGTGAAAGGTGTACTTTGTCTTGTACCACCTATACTTCAACATCATTGAAGATCTGGTATGTCCCATTCATGGCAACAGTTTTCTATGATGGCACTGAAATCTTTCAACAAGACAAGATATTATGCCACATTGCATACATTGTATAGAAATAGTTTCAAGAACATGAAAATGACTTCATTATGCTGCCAGGGCCACCAAACTCTGCAGATTTCAATACTATAGAGCACTTA